TTTCATTATTGTTGATTTTCATGGAATTGAAAACAGCTGCTTATTTATCTTCATCATTAAAAGCTTCAAATAAGCTGTAAAGCAAAGCTTTTTCCTTTCAAGAACAATTTTTTAAAATATCCGTTTCTTATTCACGGCGTTTTTAGAGCTTTTTTTTCTCACCCCCACATCTCCTGTGCCATGTTGGAACCATTTGAATAATTAATTACATATGAAATTTTAAGGTTTCTCTTCAGAATTTTAAGATGGTACAAAATCTTCCAGGAATTTATATCCAGGCAGCTAACTTATGTGTAATAGTACAGTTTTATACTATTTTATAAAGGAGACTATGACACCACTGACAACATAAATAACTCTTTGCACAGTTGCAGATTATATGTTCTATATTTATGTTAATACTCCCACATTATATTGTTGCTGTCAGGCAAATAATAATAATAAAAAAAACCGCAAAGGAAAAAACTTGTATCTCCCCAAAGCACAACTTAAAAAAATGTTCCAGATGGAAATTCAAGTTGAAGAGCAAGCAATAGAGCTGATTTTCACAATAAAACAAAAATCAATAAATATGGAGATATAAAGGGTTTCTGCCAGATGACGGCTGTGTGTGTCAAAGGTGCATCACTGACATAACATACACCATCAGTTAAGTTTTAGCAAAATATGCATTGTTACACAAAACTGTTTTTTTTGTTTTTGTTTTTGTTTTTTGCTATTCCAGCACAACTATAAAATCAAAAGAATTAACAGCATTTAATTTTTTAGATTAATATTTCGTCGTGGTATTTCTATCAGTCTGACAACAATCCTAAAGTTACAAATTCATTTAAAGAATAAGATTCGACATCTCAAATATGAAATTAGTTCAGAGTATACAACATATTCTTTACTGACTAGATTATATAAAAACCTAGAACCTACAGCGATGAAATAAAGAAATTCCTAAAGGTTACTCATCGAGGTAATTAATACGACATATGAACACATAGCAATGTAACTGTGAGTATATATCTAGTTTATGCAGCACTATAATGAGAGATCATGTTCATATTAAAAGTAACTTTTTTCTGGTAACACAGAAGTGTCCTTGTACTTATTCGTCTTACGTCCCATTAAATTAGCCTCGTATTTCCACTTCCTGCTGACCCGTGTGGTTGAGCTGTTGAAGCCGGCACGTTTATAACAAACAGTTCCCGCTAAACTTTGGGTCAGATTCAGCCACCACTCTTTGTACTTTGCTCTCTCCTCACACAGGTGCAGTTGTAATGGAGACAAAGTGTGTGCACGGCAGCGACAAATATCAGGATATAAATAAAACGAAGTAACCAAAGCAGATGAAAGACTGCTGATAATTAGGTTAGCAATGTCTCCGGCACCGTCTGCTCGGTCGTTTCCTCCAACTTCCCTGAGCAACGAGGAACGATGCAGGCGACGCTCAGACCGGGAGGGATCCGTGTTGCAGGCCGCCCCTCTGCTGCTTCCCTCCCCTACCGTCAGTGTGACTCTGATGCAGGGAGGCTGCGAGGAAACGTGAGCGGCGGCGTCAGATGTGATACATGCAGCTTTTCCCCCCACAAACCTTTTAATGATTTGTGACCCGTTTGTGGACAGAGAAATTGTGAACTCACGCACCCATAACTTCTCACTTAATCTGTATTACTCTCATCACAACAGAGCAAGCCACTCTATCAGTAAATGCTAATCTCCTAATTAACAAGCTAATTAGGCAATTACAGCTTTGCAGAAGGATGCCTAAATGAAATATGACAACACAGTCACTTTCTACAGCACCTGTGGGTCTTTTCAGATGTCACAATGAGAAGCATGATGACAAAGTGTTGTCTCTGCTACTCGTAGGTGCTTATTCCTTCGCCTCGCTGTACTCGCTTTGCTAAAACACTTTCTCCTAATTTAGCCGGGAAAGAAACCAGAAAGTCAAATAAACTGTCTTTCAGGAATTTTTTTGGGGGGGAATATTTGTTCCCACCAATAAAGGAAAACCGCTTGTAGAAGTGTTATGTAAACACGTTTTTGAGAGAACCAGTGCCCCCCTCACGCCCCTCCCTCGTCTCAACAATGTCTTACTGTTAGGAGCTGTCACATAGGGAAATGGATTATGTTGACATATGGCTGAAAACAACAGTGAATAGGCCTGCTATGCAATGCAATGAAGAATCATGCACTGCAAGAGAGGAGAGGAGCCGGAGCTGTACCTTTGAGCCTTTCCTGACAGGTATGCACTGTGACTTGACAGCTCAGTATTTCCATGATAAATGCAGTAGTCCTGGGACTCCCATTCACTAAACTTAAAGACTGCGTCGCTCCCCTCCTTCAAGGTCAAACGGATGAGTAGAGGAACGCAAAGCGGCAAGTCGCTTCGTAATGATTTATTTACATATTAAAAATTTGACTGAGAATCGGGTTAGATTCAATCTGAAATAAATAAAAGTGAATAAAAGTACATTTTGGAATATGTTTTAATGTATCTTGTTATTTTTCTGACTTTTGCTTTTGTTCTATCTTCTATCATTCTGCCTGTCAAGTTCTGCCTTTTTTTTTTTTTTAGCAAAATGAAATATTGAGATGCCTTCACTGCTTCTGTGAGATTTGAGTTTCTCTTTATGGTACGTTGCTCCTGCCTGTACATCGCATCCTCATAACCGGATCTTCTCATTCATGTGAAGCACATCTGACTCATCCTCCTCTAGTTTGTGAAGTGCAGAGTGGAGCAGTAGGACGATGTCCTCCCCCTGCTGCTAAAGCAATCAAATGTCAAACTATTGTTTTAAGTAATGAGTCACTGTACCATGGCTCCAAATTAAGTTTTTAGAGAAAGTCTTTCTGCCTTTATTGAAGATTTAGATTCGTCACTCGGCTGTTAGTCTTGACGATGAATCAAGACTATGAATCATTTTCTTTTCTTTGTTTTTGAGTTTTCTTTGAGTTTGTTGCACAGGACACAGGTGTGACAAAAAATTCCCCAAAAAAAAAAAAAAAAGCGAACAAATTAAATTATTTGTAATCTGTTCCTTCAGAGGTTTTCTGTTGTTTATTGGGATGTCCAGTCAGTTAATTACCATCCCTCATGTGCTAAAACATTGCTGTATACCATTGGATGCTAACGAAGCCAAAATTGTTTTTTGATCTGAGATTATTAAATGCAGTGTTGAATTTAAGGGATTGGAATTTAATAAACTTTTCTTCAAAATCTAAAAGAATAACAAAACAATATTTTCTGGTCAAACCTGAAATGAAATATTCAAGAGCTTTGTAAAACACAGTTTGAGATTTATGAAATCTCTACCCGATTAATGAGAAAACAAACTGAACATTTTTCTGCACTCTTCTTGCATCAAGCAAATCACACACTGACACAAGCGTGAAAACTGACGTACAGAGAGGTCAAACCTGTACTGATTAAACATACTACTGCTAATTGGAGATTCTTTAAAATTCAGTTTTGGTTTGTGGAACATATAGAGAAATTAGTTTTCTTAAAGAAAAGAAGCAAAATCCTTGGGGACAGTACGAGGGGCTCCACCCAGTGTGGCAATCATGTAAGAACTGCCACTGGCAGAAAGTGCTAAAAGTTTTATTTTATAATCACGTTACCTGTTTCCTGCTGTCACGTCTCAAGATTTAGCAAAACACTAAGTGTGAGATCTCTGCATGAACTCGAGATGATCGTTATAAAGTAAATAAAATGAAATGCTGCCACAACCCATTTTTATTACTTTTTTGTGGCTTACTTTAACTCTGATGTTAATACAGACTGATTTGCATTTTTTATTTACTTTTTTTTTTATAATCAAACTTACAGCTTTACAATATTATGAGGTGATATAAAAAATTGCAATGTGATGGATATCCAGTAGTTCTAAATTTAACAACTACTTGAAACTATGGAAACGCATTATATTTTTGAAAACGCATTTGCATAGTCTGTTTACAATCTGCACATGCAAGACAAGAAAAATTACCAGGAATACTGAGAGACACGTTAAAATATCCCATCCTGAAACTGCTAAAGCTTCACCACACAGAGCCAGAGGTGGAATAATATGAGGCAAAAGAATCATACACAACAAAATGAGTTTTAAATCTTCTGGATTCTTTGTTTTAAGATATAACTGGTTAAAGCTGTAGACAGATATAGAGCCACAGAGTGTTCCATATGTCCACTTTTCTAATTTCTTAAAAAAAATCCCCCCCGCCCAAAAAAAAAAAAACGACAAAAAAAAAGAAAACTTATTGAGATAGAGATACAATGTGCTTTACAAACCAGTTCCATGTGCTAACACTTAGTTTTAGTGGAAATTAAACCTTTATTGTATTTTGTATTTATTTTAGTGTCTTTTGAACAAATAATGTAATGAAAACAATGCCACAGTTATTTTTCAATTATGTTATTTTTATACAATTCACTAGTCTGGTCCAGTCTAATTAAACAAAATCTGGCAAAAAAAAAGAAGAAAAAATCTGTAAAAAGTTAGGCTTTGAAGGGCCGTGCATAACACCAAGCTTCTCTTGGGGAGTGGGAAAGCTATTTCCACAAACTCTTGCTCAGGAAAACAAAAAGTAAAAACTAAAAACGCCAGCCTTATTGCCCAATAACTTTCTGTACAGCCAGATAATGCGTGAAAACTGCCTCAAACCGAAAGCAGCCCTCTTGCTTTTTTCCTTCTTCCTTTCCCCCGGAATATAGATGCATGCTGTAGGAGCGCGCTGTATATTTGTTGCCTCGCATCCAGCAGCTTAACAACTTGTCTGCTGCCATAGCAACTGCGGAGGAGCACCGAGCAGCGCCGCCTGCTTGTGCAATGGATGTCACTCGTGGCAACGACCAATCAGAAGTTCCCATCCTTCTGCACGAGCGGGCTCGAAGATGGAGGGATGGAGTGGGTGGGTTCTGGGCGTCATGCATCTGCCAGCAATAGGACGGACGGCTCGTCAGTCTTCGTCCTTCCGGGCCCGGATTGGCCCACGGAGCTTTACTTGCAATAATATAAACATGTCTGGCCGCTTCGCCTGGCTCGAACCGAGGCTCGCAAGGGGCTATGCAGTTCTTCATCAAACTGTGCAAAAACTCTCATTATGCATTTGCCCGCGGTGGTGCAGAGCTAAATCTCGATCATTGCTAGAGAATATGCACATAGCTGCGGCGTGCACGCGCGAGGAAAGAGGATACCCTGCCTGCAGCCGCTGCAAGAAAGAGAGAGGGGACTCAGCCGTGCTTTCATCATTATAATCACCATCCTAAGTGCTCGCTCTTAACATTTTGTTTTTCGCTGTTCGGGCGAGAAGTGACAAGAGTATAGACCCCTCCTCTGCAGGGCGGAGCGTGCATTTTCATTTCGGTATTTTGTATTTTTTTTTTATTTATTTATTTTTTTTATTTTTTCCTCCTTCCTACCCCTGTACCCTGCTCTGACACGTCTGCACTGAGTGAGTGGCATTGGCACACTGTCAATCGCTCACTAGCGCTGCCATCAAACAACATAAAACACACACAGGCAGAGGGCTGGAGCTCATAAATTTCAGCAGGGCAAGATATTTTTTTGCGCATCGCCTTTTATACAGCGTTCTATTCTAATTAATTTCGTCTCGCCGTTGCTTTTTTCTCTCCTTTCTTTTGCAACAACAACAACAACAAAAATCGCAACTTTTTCTACATTTCATATTTTTCTTATATTAACCTTTGGACACCTTGTGCTGCAGATTGTGATTTTTCTTTTTTAAATACAGGGAACATTATTCCACGTTTACCTGAGATTTAGCCTGAGATTTTTATTTTTTATTTTTTATTTTTTTTACCACTATTATTTGTTTACACATTTCCACGTTGGATAATTTTCGCAAAGGAGGATTTGGACATTTTCAAGAGGACATGCGCCGGGGATTCTGGTGAAGAGACCACCAAGGACCGTTTCTTGTCTCCACTACCGGTGTTAAATCGCAGAGAGAGAGTGAGAGAGAGAGGGGGGGAAAAAGACTGATCGGTGCGAGGATTTGGAGCGGGGATATGATGGAGCGTCAATTTTGACGAAGAAGTTTTTTAGAAGAAGAAGAAAGATTTTTCTTTCTTTCTTTTTTTTTTTTTTTTCTTCCCTACGCAAAACACTGCCACGCGTTTTTGGGCACTTTGGACCCGCGCGTAAAAAAAGAAAGCATCAAGAGGACTACTTCACACTAAAAATATATGTATATATACATACAAGATACATATACCTGCTGTAGTTGTTATTTAAGAAACACGCGTCTTTATTTCGCCGAACAAACACTGCGTTTGCATCCATCCTAGTCTCTACGGCATATGCTCTAGCCGATTTCGTATATGAGTTTTTCAATTTGTGTGGCTCAGTGCACAGACTCTTTAGCGGCTACTATGGACGATCAAGCCCGGATCATGCAGTCCATCGGCGGCGTCAGTCTGGCCGGCCACTCGGTGCAGGGAGGCATGCCGCTGCCGCCTCCGCACGGACACGACGGGACGGACGGGGACGGGAGGAAGCAAGACATCGGTGACATTCTGCATCAGATCATGACCATAACCGATCAGAGTCTGGACGAGGCGCAAGCAAAGTTGGTTGATTTATATGTTTTGTTAAGTTCGCCCTCCCAGCAAATCGCTGGACGCGTCTTTTTTTGTTGAGAGATGTTGTTGGCCCTGATTACCTGAAGTCCCAGTGTGTTAACAATAGACCGGATTGGCTGTAAGAATAGTAATGCCCAACGGCTGAGCCTGGCGACGCGTTTAACACACGTGAAAGTTGTCACAATAGGGAGCAACGTAGTTTTTATTTAAACTACCTGTTTGAACCTGAGCGAGGTGGTGGTGTTGCAAAAAAAAAAAAAAAAAAAAAAAAAAAGTTGGTGCACACATGTCAGATTTCAGCCAAGACTGTTGTTAAAATTCAGCCCCATACAGATGCAACCACAAAAGCATCATTTAGAAAATAAGTCATTTTCATAATAGATGTTAAACTTCAGGTAACTTTTCAAAAAATATATTTATATATAAGAGTGTGTGAGGTGAAGTGCATAGAGGCTTAAACTTGTTCATGTCTAACATGTTTTTATCTGTGACCTTATTTGAGTGTTTTATTTTTTTCTTATACTGAAACAGGAAACATGGACTGAACTGTCACAGAATGAAACCAGCACTCTTCAGCGTTCTCTGTGAAATCAAAGAAAAGACAGGTAAGATTTTCCTGCTACAGATAAAAAAAAAAAAACAATATAAAAATATATTTTAGGGAAAAAAATCAAAACAATAGAAGAATAGATCTGATGGCATTGTGCAGGTTAAGGTTGCAAGGGTTTTTGGAAGAGGAGAGAGAGAAAGGCAAGGTGGAGGGTGGGGGGGTGGGTGGGGGTGTAGACCTCTGCCCGAATGAATCAATCACCTTTTTAAATTTGTCACTGTGTGCCGTGTGGAAACAGTAAGTGTTGTCACTTTCCACTGAAGATGCTCTCGTTCCTGCAGGAACGTCTGCAGGAGCGTCTTGTCTTTTGAATTTGAGCAGAAAGCGTGCTTCCCTACCCCTGGCACAGAGCAGGACGGGGAAATCCCGCAGCATATGCTCTACACAGCTAAGATCACACAGAAATTCATGCTTTATAACATGAAAACAATCCCACACTTTCAAACAGACTACAGTCTGTGTGTCTATAATTAGAGTGCTACTCTGTGGAGTCTCACTGATTTGGAGAAAACAGAAACAAGAAAAAAAACAAAACAAAAACAAAAAAACAAAACAAGAAATAGACACGTTATTTTTGCTGATATGATTTGCAGAAAATATCTTAGAATTTGTGTGAATAATTCACATATTTTCGCAGCAAAGAATTTGAAACTTTCTCCGCACCTGCGAGATGACACACATAATCGAGCTGAGAACTGAATTTTAGATCCTAAGATCAAAACTTTTCAAAACATTAGAGCCTGCAGGACAGAGCTCTTTCTATGATGTCTTTATTTGAATAAAAATAGAGTGAATTAGATAAACTCCTCTTGTTCAGATTGCAAATGAAATGATCTAAGATGCCTTTCTTTTTAAGGACCAGGGTAAAAAAAAAATAAAAAAAAACTTTTTATTTAAACACCTAAATCTTAAGGTTAAAAACCAAAAAAAAATGTGCAGGTGGTTTGCGGTGTGTTTCTGGCAGTGAAATAATTAGAAAAAAAGAGAAAAAAGTCTAATGAGGAAACCTCCGTGCCAGATTTGTGACCTTTGTGCGCTTTATGAGGAAATTAGCTTTTAGGAGATCATAAAACTTTATGAACTTCCTCAACACAGGTGGCATCCACAGGGACCGGCTCAGGCTCCTTGGTCTTGTGAAGGCTCTGTGGCTGTGCTGTCGCTGAATTTAGAGAATTTAAATGTAGACAAATAAGACTAACGTACGTAAACGACACCGGTGGTGGATCTGATGCAGTGCTCAGCAGCACAAGAGCGTATCTCGTATGTGGATGGCACAGAAATAGATTAGTGGATTTATTTCTGAAATCACACTCCGCTTCCCTCTCTGAATTTACAACTCCGACATTAAATGTTTTAAAAAACTTTTTTTTTTAACAGAATGGAAAAAATAATTTAAGACGAAACAATGAAAGTTTTACGTGCACGCCGTTAGCGTGGCTGTGTGAGATTCAGAATAAGTGTGTGTGAAAGAGGTGAGATATTGGAGAGCAAGTTTTCTGTGCGCTTGAGTTTCACGTGTGCATGCAGTGTGTGTGTGTGTGTGTGTGTGTGTGTGTGTGTGTGTGTGTGTGTGTGTGTGTGTGTGTGTGTGTGTGTGGTTAACCTGTGCTGTGGAGTCCCAGTCTGTCCCTCTCTGAGTCTGACAGAGCTCAGCTGGTCTGCTGGCCTTGTTGACTGGTCCGCTCCTCCAGCACACGCAGCCAGCCTTTCATTCGCTGGTGTCTCCTTCACACTTTACACTATCTGTTCAGATGACAACACGCTGCCGCTGCTTTTCAGCCATGGGGACCCAGTGCTTTCCTGAGCAACACTTTTTTTATTTTTATAACAACTTTTTGCTGTAATCGCTGTGATCAGAACTTATTGTCATGTCATGTCAAATTGCTTTTTTTTTTTTTTTTTTTTTTTAAAGTGGAGTGAGACATTTGAGCACTTGTCAGGGTGTTTGGAACTTTATGGCGCTCCTCTAACTGTTTTTGTAGAGCCACAGCATTTTTCCTGCATAGCTAATGCCCCTAGAAGTATTAATTCACTTTGATATGCTAATTAGAGAGCATTATGCAAGAAATGAGATTAAGTGGCAGCATGAAGTCATTTGCCTGTCACTAAATTGAGTGTTTTTAGCAGGAGCCCACCCCAACCTCTTTTTTCCCTCTTCTTCTTTTTCTTCTTAGTTTTGCATTTAGATAAGCTAAAAAGTGAAATTCGGCTCGCATGTGTCGTTCTTTGTCCCTCGGTTGGCCAGGGGGTTTTCTTTTTGGTTCCAAATATCAAACCTGAAAGCAAAATTCTGCCATGCTTCAGGACAATAGGTAACATTCAAGCTGCGCGAGGTGACAATGGGCGCATTTGTGTGCGATTCAGATGAGTTTTGCAGTTATTCCCCTGAGCTGGGTTTGTATTATCCCACTGGTCTCTACTCCTCATGCTTGGGAGAAGGAGCTCCCAGCAGCAGGGGCAGAGGCAGCAGCAGCAGCGGTGGGAGCGGCAAGAATAACAAAGGTGAAAGATTACCTCCATATGGTATTTCTGAGCAGGAAAAGAGAGGTTCTGTAGCAAGACTTCTCTTTGATGTGAGGTTTAATCAATAGAAAGAGATTACAGAAAACTATTACAGGCTAAATCACAGCGCGCTGCAGAGGGGCTTACCCCTCTCCACGGCTCTCTCTGAGCGGCGAGGCGCTTCTTCTTCGTCCTGCTTGCGTATTGACTTGTTGTTTTCCTGACCTTTGACTCGTCAGGTTCGGAAAATGGGGGGGAGGACGGGGAGGTGGTCTAAAGAGGTAACCGAGAGAGGGAGAGAATGTGGCAGATTCAGGCTGATAAATGCTGTGATCCGGTGTGTGAAGCTGTGGATTATGGGGCGAGCCTGCGCTCGGAGGCCAAGGGAACGTCGCCTGGATGTGTCCGACTTGGATTCTGGGAAAGAAAAACAAAAAGAAGGAAGAAAAAATAAAAAGCAAGGAGGTCTTTTGGGTGTGTTTAGGAGTATGTCTGTGTTACATGTTCTGCTGAGTTCTGAAAGAAAGTATTGTCTGGAAAAAAAAAAAACATTCAATATAGAGATATAGAGAACTTGCCAGGAGTAAAAGAAAAAAAAAAAAGAGTTAGGACTGAGCATGCCAGCGTAAGAGAAAGAAAAAAAGATTTTGGTGTTTCCTGAACCAGATGTGATCTGCCGTGCATTTAATTTAATAAACTCAGTAATGCAACAGGGGTGGCGTTGGGGGCGGGGGGAGATGTGTGATTTAATACTCTTTTAAAGCAAGTTTCCCCAAACACTGTACAGCAACCAGACCCACCATGCTGTTTAGCATAAGTCACAAACAGAAGTTGAAGAAAGAAAAAATATTTTATTACTCCTAGACAAAGATAATGAGCCTTCTTCACACAAAAAAATGTAAATTTAAAAAATAATATTTTTATAAATGTATATAAATATATATGTAGCTATGTAGAAATAAATATTGAAATTTTTTTCTATAATTTTAGTTTATTTTTGTACATTTAGTTCATTGTATTTCAGTCCCTTTTCTTCACGCAGAAAAAAAAAACCCAGAAAGGCCTTGTAAATGCATGACAGAGAACAGAAAGCTATTCAGCAGCTGAGACAATTGACTTTGGCTGCTTTTTTGTCTCGTGGAGCCCCAGTGATGCGGCTGTACTCACTAGATAGCGGTTGTGCCGAATGGGTCGTGCACAGCTGGGTTCCTGGCTGGCTCAATGGCAGGGCCACTGCTTCCTCCTCTAAAGCACAAGGGGGACCGAGGAAGATGTGGCTATTATCTAAGTAGCTTCCAAATACCCTCCATTTCCCCATCAGGCGGGATGAAAAGAAGGAGAGCAAGACAAAGAGGACAGGGAGAGAAAGAGAGGGAGTAAAAAAAAACAAAAAAAAAAAAACAAGAGCATGCATATCAGTTTCATTTGGAAGGGTAAATGCTTTTGTGCTGTGGGGAGAGATGTTTCTGCAGCGGCGCTGCCTCGTGTAGCTGTGCACATGGCCTCTCAAATCTGTTTTTTATGTACAATGATCCGGCGCTGTCCCTCCATCTGCACACTCGAGCACACGTCTTCTCTCCCCCCCTCCCCCCCCGCTCCACCCATCCACCCCCTCCACCCCGTCTCTTCCCACTCAATCGCTCCAAGCGTTTTCTGCAGGGCTCCTGTGCGATCAACAGCTCATAATTGTTTTTTGCACATACGTTATGCAAATGAGCCTTTATGGCAACTGGCATAACAATTAGCATCCTCCAACAATATTTTACTAGGTTAATTGCGAAATTTCTAAATTGTACATCTGAGTTGTTAATTAGGCATGACAGAGGTGGTGAAATAGTTATCTTCAGGCGGTGGCAGCCAGCAGAGGCTGCTTTGGATGCAAAAAGGAAGGATTGATTGAAATTAGTTTTCAGCAGTGGGAGAGGGCCTGTCGGCGAGTCAGCGGCCCCTCTTGCCTGTTTACGTGAAAAATAAAAAAATAAAAAAATAAACCCCCCCAAAAACCCCCAAAACTGGAGCAGACAGGGAGAAGGTGGAGCAAATTTAGGACTTCATTCGAAAAGCGTTTGCCCAGTCGTGTCGATTGCAAGTAGTGTTTTTTTGTAAACAGAGTAAAACCGACAGGAGTGATAGAGCTTGTCATATTGATGCAAGTTTGCAAAGACTCTACTTTCATACATCGCTGGAGTTGGATTGTTGTCAAAACTGTACAAAAAAAAAATATATATATATATATATACATATATATATATTTTTGACCTGCCATACATGCTGGAGCTGAAATTTCTACAAGCCCCCTTCTGCAGCTGTCACTGATTTTCCTGACGAGATTTAACCTTTGGAAATACTGCAATTTGCGCTTCCTTGTTTACTTAATTATTGACAGAATGATAGAGAAAGAGATGTCAACATGTTTTATCTGCAGCAATCATTTGCGAAAATAAACCAAGATTGAACAAACTTCAGAATAATTAAATGCATAACTTCTGTTTTTTTTTTTGCAGCTCTAATTTAGCTGAACATAATTTATTTTTGCAACAACAACAAAAAAAAAAGATATCTGGAGACTGTAGTCCCAGTGTCTGATGCTGTTTGTGTCTGTGTCACTTACAGAGCCTATGTGATGCCATGAAGCTGGTTATAGGTGTAAACAGGGTTAGAGTGAAAAGGCTGGTGCAAACCAAGTCCTCCCTCAGTAATGACTGCTATTTGTAGGTCTCTATTTCATTAGTTGTAGTGTTTCAGGGTAGAGCTTTCCCTCGTGGGACGATGGGAGTCTATGAAGTTCATTTACTCTGTACACATTACATGTGGACAACTAAAAGTCTTATCAGCGGCAAGTTCAGCAACACTGATAAAAAACAGATGTTTCCTCATATTCCTGCTTTTCTACACATAATCTTGATTACATTATGTCATTTGTGGTAGAAAATATGTTTTTCTTTTCTTTTGAGTTTGTGTCTGAGTGATTTTTTTTTTACACTGATAAAATAAGCTGGTAGAAGTAACCAGTTAAATTAGTGTGGCAATTTGCATACAGTTCATCTAGGCAGATTTGTATCATATTTCTCAATAGATGTTATGTAAGTTTAAGAGCTAAAAGACACTTTGAGTTGAGTTTAAATAAACCTACTCAACAAAATTGGCTCTGTTTATTATCTACAGTAGAGAAATAAGCCTTTTAAATTTGTGTATATTTTACGTACATTTTGGATAACTACTCTCGTTAAACACTTAAGATAAAGTAAGCTCAGCTTGAGAGTAAGTTCGACTTTTAGCATTGACTCTGTTGCTAAACTAATTAAGGGAAAAATGTTAATGAAATAGTAATAAATATTTTCAATCTGTTCTATCAATGTGGAATGTAAACACTTCCCCTTATAAGCTCAGTTATGATCATTAGTTGTCATAAACTGCTTCGGGGTTAAGAGGCTCAACTGGCTAGCAAGTTTAGCATTAGCGCTGTTGCTAAACTAGTTAGAGCTGCATACGAACTTAAATAATTGCTGAAACTCATACAGGTTCTTGTAGTTACAGACTTGTAGTTACAAGTCTTTGAACTGATTTTTTCCCCCAAAAAATAAAGTAGGTATAGTTATTAGACTTTAAGCTTCATTAAACTAATTTGCTTAATTAAAATGTAAATATATTTATTAGCTAATATCTAATAACCTCCATAGTACCTTTCTAAAGTGTGGACATGTTTTCCCAATATTTGGGGAAGTTTTGCAGCTTGGATATATTTTGACAAATATGTCTTAAATCTCACTTTCAACTCTTTGTCAGTGTTGTACTTGGAAGCCTGTTGCCTGAAATTGCTCTTTTCTCTTTCATACGATTATTTTCCTGGAGAGTTGTCTTTTCTTCTTCTGCAAGCTTTAAATTTGAGCTCCTCTCTCGCCATTGTTCCAGATGCCATTGTTCTGCTTTTCGTACATTACAATGATATATCGGCGCCAGAAATGGGAAAAAGACTGCAATGCAATGAAATTTTAATCAGCGTCTTCTGCTGCTTTAATAAGGCAAATAATTCTTATTGGCTGCCGTGTTAAGATTTCTAATATTTAATTCATAGCAAACCTTGCATTATTCTGC